TCTTTAAAATAATGGTCAATCTTGCAAAGGCTCTCGACAGGCTGCGTCCATCGCTATGTTGAAAGAACCAACATGCAGATTATGGAGCTGTAGGTAAGCTGGTGTCAAGATGAGCCACAGCAGTGATTCAGTTCCCAGCCCAGCCAGATTAAAAATGGGAATCAAGTATTTCCTCACGTGCAGATTGGCCCCGTTGAGCAAGGCACACGAGCTGGGTGAGTGATTCTGCCATCTCTGTTGAGAAGCCATCAGTTCAGATGGAGGCAGCAGCCAAGGACAGTCCCACAAGGGGAAAGGATGTTTCGCTGGAGTCCAAGGCCAAGGTCAGTCCCACTCTGCTGTGTGTGGGTGTGAAAGCTGGACCAGGAAGAGTGCGAGCAGGAAGAAAAAGGATGGCGTTCAAAACATGGTGCTTTGCAAATAGTCTGGAAAGATGAACAAGGGACCTCAATCAAGTCAAGCCAGAACTTGCCCTGGAAGCAAAATGACAAAACTGAGGCTGTTGTGCTTTGGGCACATCCTGAGAAGGCAAGACTCCCTGGAGAAGACAACCGTTATAGGAAAGACAAAGGAGGAGGAGGAGGAGATGGTGCTGAAGAAGGAGAACATGATAGAGATGGTGGAGAAGGAGAAGGAGAAAATGGTGCTGAAGAAGGAGATGGTGATGGTGATGAAGGAGACGGAGACGGAGACGGAAACGGAGATGGAGAGAGAGGCTAAACGAGAGTTGGACGGGCTCTATAAAGGAAGCCACAATCTTGAGTTTAGAAGAGCTGAGCAAGGAGAGGACATTTTCGGAGGTGCTCACTCATAGGGTCACCATAAGTCAGAGACACCTTGATGGCACATACCGGCAGCAAAGCCAGGATGCGGGCTAGTTCCAATGGCTGGAAGTTGAGTGGGAAGGGCCTTGGTGCTCTGACTGTGAACTTCTCACAGACCCTGCGATGGCTCCCCCTGGGCGGCTCCCAGCGCTGCCAGTTAAAAGAGGTGGTGCAGCTACTCTGATTCCCTTTTATGGGTGGCTTATGGCACGGGGGAAAAACAGAGCGAAGCGTGGGGAATGCGGGAGGGTTCCAAGTGCAAGCCAATAACATCCTCCCTCCCTGTAAAAACTCCCTGTGAAAACATCAGCAAGACCAATGCATGATGGCAGCCTCATCCCGACACACCCCAAGCTGGCACTGCCTTCGGTCCGATCCAGCAGGGATCCTTCTCTCTTTTTAATGTACAAGTTGCTGCTGTTGGGATGTGAGTTTGTTCCCATGCTGGTTAGCTCCACCGTAGGAGGCTTGGATGGCTTTTGGCGCTCGCAGCCTGCTGAGCCCAGACTTCTCAAAGTCCCACACAGAGTTGGTGCCTCTTGGCTGAGGAACAGGTCCTACCTGTCCCAGGAGAAAAACCTTCCAGGAGCTTGGGGGGGGGGAGGGAACCACACACCTGCTGAGAACCAGCAAGGAAGCATCCCGCTGTCAAGGGGAGACGGTGGGCACACGGTCAGGGCAGCACGAGGAAAGCCCCCGGGGGGGGGGGGTCACTCCCCTTGAAGCTGCAGAAGGCATCCGGCAGGCTCGGGAGCCTGATGACTTTATGCAGAGTTGGCAAATGGCTTGCGGGCATCGAATGAACCTGCCCCAGCCTGCGCTCTCTACCTCTATTGCGCCACAACTCCCATGATTCCCGTGCTTTCCTAGGACTGCCCTCCAAAGAGGGTGAATTCTTTTTTTAATAATAAGTTTGATTCAAAATTTTTAGTCCTAAAAACAAAGAAAAACTGAAAACAACATCAATCATCGAAAACATCGAGCCTGCTGGGTCAGCCCCCACATTTTTTTCCATTTATGATAACATCGAAACATAATCTATACGAAGTCCCGTTTCTCTAGCCAATAATAAAAAGAGTCCCAAGTCTGATAGAAGTCAGTATCTTCTTTCTCCTTCAGTGACAAAGTCAGTCTATCCATTTCCGCACAGTCCAAGATCTTTTTTAGGATCAGTTCGTCGGTGGGTGGTTCTTCACTTTTCCAGTGCTGAGCAAATGCCATCCTTGCCGCAGTGATTACATGTAAAATCAGATACATTTCAAAAGAGGATGAATCCTGATCAGAAGCAAACTGGGCCTGATTTGCAGGCCTCCATGATGCCCGGGCAAGCCTTTTTAAAGATCTCCGCACGAACCCCGTGCCACATGACGTCCGTCAGTTGCGCGCCCCTGTGCCTGGCAGAGGGTTCCCTGGGTCGTTCTCGCCAATCAGGCTGCTGAGGATCTCCCTGTGGATCCAAGAGTTCATTTGCACGGTTGCTCATCCGAGGGGTCCTGTCAAAGGCTTTAAGGGAGCGGCTCTCTGCCACAACTGGGGGTAGAAAGGAAGCCAGTGGCGAGGTCTGTGATGCATGCAAAGCGTTCTGGAAACTCCCAAGGGGCCACGTGAACGACCACCGTTATGGCATCGTGGGGCAAGCCACGCCACCCGTCAGTAGCCCCCTTTTCTTGGAGCAACCCCGAGTGCAAATATAGGGGACGGAGGTGTCAAGGTGCGCATGCAAAGAGCGCACCGGAGAGTGCATGGACCATTGAGGTAGGTGTGGGTGTGGTGGATCCAGGTTGCCGACATGGGAATAGATTTGCTGACCTCGGGCAGGAGCCATCTGCCGCAGGCTTGGCTGCCATCCAGAGGGTGGAAGGAGGAGCCCCTGCAAGGATTCCTTGTGCACGCAGTTGTTCCTGCTTGCTTTCTCCTGACTTCAGCGCCTCATCAGCCCCTGCGTGTGTTGGGAGTGGCCCTGGAGTTCTCCCAGCATCCAGAAGTGGCACAGAGAGGGGCTGTGCTGGAAGGGGAGGGGAGGCCCCTGCCGTGCCAGGGCTCCGGAGGCCGGCCTCTCACCCCGAGCCTCTCTTGGCATCTTTCGGGTGCCAGGGTCACTTGGCAGATGGCTGCCGCAAGCCAGGAGACATTCCGGCTGTGGATTTCAGGCAGGCTGCAAGGCTTGATCAATTAACTGGTGTGATTAATCCACCAATGCAGCTCCTCCCACAGCAAACTGTGGGGCATCTGAACCTCGCTCTTAACACATAGCCAAAGCCTCCCGAAGAAGAAAACCAGGAATGGCTAGGCTGGCCTTTTAACTATTCAGGACGGTCGATAATCAGCCCACTGCCCTCTTGAGCCCCGGACTTCAGCTGCCCGCTTTTCCCTTAGCCTACCAATCTCCTTCTGCAGGCCTGTGTTTGGATCCCTGCGAGGGAGCTGTACAAAACCGTATTTACGTAGGTACCTCTTAAGTTATGCATGCACCTGGGAAGATAGCCAGGGTTTCACAGACAGGATCAAGCACCGAGAACTTTACCTGCCCCTGTTTTACCCATCGGGGCAGGTAGGAGGTGCTTGCACGTTTACTGGCCCCATAACCTCGTCCACTAGGTCCCACCCCGGCATGCCAAAGCCGCGGGACTCAACTGCCCGCATACCACACTCCACCTTCACTACCGCAAACCTGCTCCGGATCCCCGGACAACCTCCCAGGAAGACTGGCTCGGCGTGTTCCCCAGACCAAGCTCCTAGTCCTCCTGAATCAAGCGAGGTCCATCAAACCTGCCCAGATCTGTCTTCCGGGGAAAACTTCGCCTGCACCATTCATAGTAAACTCTCAGGAATTCCTTGGCAGAGGAGGCAACACAAAAACCAAGTGTTCCTTAAAGGCATAAAGTGCAAATGCCATTGCACTAAATCTTTAATCCTGGTTTGAAATGACTTGGTGTACGAGTAGAATAAAAGTGCAAGCAAGCAAACAAATAAATGCACACATGGCGACCCCTTGCCTTTCTCTTGGATGTGGTTCCTTCATACGTGTTTTAGCATGATACTGCCCTGACCTACGGTCACTGTTCTCGCGTTTGGCTTGCGAGCTTTCTGCCGGCAGCCAGTTGGTCACTGTATGAATTGATTAATAAAGGGGACCCTAATAAAGGGTAGGCAAATGAGAAGGGTCCAGCGGAGGGCGACAAAAATGATGCAGGGTCTGGAAACACTGCCCTGTCGGGAGGGACTGAGAGAACTGGGCATGTTCAGCCTTGAGAAGGGAAGACTGAGGGGGGCATGGTATCCCTCTAAAAATACCTCCAAGGCTGCCACAAAGAGGAAGGGCAGGATCTCCTCTCGCTGACGCCAGAGTGCAGGACGGGGAATAATCAGTCCAAGCTGTGACAACCCAGATTCAGGCTGGACATCAGGAAATGCTTCCTCACTGTCAGAGCAACACAACAGTGGGACCAGCTGCCTGGAGAGGCGGTGGGCTCGCCCACACTGGGGACATTCAGAAAGAAACTGGGCAGCCCTCTGAGTGGGAGGGTGTGACGTGGTGCCCTGCAACAGCAGGGGGTGGACTGGATGGCCTTCAGGACCCCTTCCAACTCTGCTGTTCTATGACTCTAGGACTCTATGACCCCTGGCCTGACCAAGCAGTGTTCATCCTGACCCAGTGTGAGTGCCATGAATTTAACTGTTATGAAAAAAAATGTGATCACCACCATGCTGGAAAGGGCTGGTCTCCAGTTATATGACATTCGGGTAGTTGGCCAGAAACACTGGGAAGCGGTGTGACCGCGAGCCAAGCAAAGCCCTGTAGGATTCCTGCAGCATTCCAAGCTAAACAGACTTCGGGGCGAACGGCTGCTACTTGTCCCAGGGGACTTCTACTTGTCCCACAGCTGCACACAGAGATTTTCTGTCGAAACACAAGACTTGACCAGTGTGCCCACTTCCAAGCCATTATGTGCCAAGAAAAAGTGTGTGTGTGTGTGTGGGGGGGGGGACTCAGAGGAGCTGCCTTCAGGTTGCAACATGTTCACAGCACTCCCACGAGCGGAAATATTCAAACACACACCGTATTCTTTGGGCAATCCCGATGGCAACACCCTGTGTGTGCAACACATCTCTGCGGAGCTGCAACATATGACAGAATAGTTACCTGCTCTTTGCAAACCGGGAGAGAGTGCCAAGATGAAAGCTTCTGCCGTCGTGCTTTTGGTCGCAGCCCTCTGCGCGGGGACAGGTGAGTTGGGCGCCACGAGGTTTGGTGGTGCCTTTGAGAAGGAATCTGGGGACTTTTGGGGCAATTATAGCCACATGGCACAACTTTATTGTTGAGAGGTAGCCGCAGAGAAGCAATTGTCTTACTCCCAGCTCTTTCAAGGATGCCTTGAAACTGGCTGGGAACTTAACAGCAATGCAAGATTGTGTGTGTGTGTGTGTGTGTTCATTCTAAAGCTCGTACACCTGCAATCCTAAGTATGCTTATACAGAAAAAAAATCCTACAACTTTTAGCAGAGCTGAGAGCTCCAGGACTTTTCCCCATCTAAACGCTGTGGATTTTTCATCTGTTGCCGGCTCAGAAAAAACTGACTTTGAGTGAGAAAGGCCTGGATCTATGGAGTTGTGGGGTGTCCCTTCCAGAAACTCCCCCCAGCTTTGCAAACTGTGCGGGAGCTGTCAGCGGGAGAGGCAGCTGGGGCAGGCGGGAAGGGGGGCTTTTAACACGCCTGAGGTATGCATGCCACTGTGCCACTTGCGCAGGGACCAGACTTCAGTGTATTATTAACGTCCAGAAAAGCATCCACGATGCGCCCCAGTTATGTGCGAGAGAGGGCACACGGATCCCTGCTGCTCCTCCCCTTCGTCCACGGGGGTCCCTGGAGCCGTTTGTCCTTGTCCACCCAGCTAGTCGACAGGTGAGCTCGGCTCAGCTCTGACGTGTAGGAGCGCTAATCCTGCATTGCCCACCCATTCAAGTCAGGCTCCAGGTAGCTAGCATGGAAAATATATGTGCACTGAATAAAGGGCTTTCCTGGGAAATCTGACTTTTTGGAATTGTGGCAATATTCAGATCTTATGGTGTAAGAGAAGGCCAGGGCCTCGGGGAGCTGTTAGCAATGGGGTGAGCAGCTGTGATTTTTCAATCCAGACTTAAAATCGTATCTTTATGTGTGAATCAAATTAGGCTGAGAAGCAGCGAGATAATTCAAGGGCAAGGAGCAGTGAGAACAAAACTGCAGAAAACCCAGGTTCAGGGACCCACACGGGGATCCCATGCCGTTTGTTTGGGATTAAATCCAACTGAATACGGAGGGACTTGTTTCTAACTAATCAGATTTGCAGGAATCCTGTGTGTGCTTACAGGGAAGCCCCAAATGTGATGACCTCAATATGTATTGGACTAGAACTCCCATCATCCCCAGCCAATGTCCATGCTGGCTGAGAATGGTGGGTGCTGTAGCCCGACCCATCGGGAGGGTGTCAGCTTGGGGAAGATCGCTCTGGGCCATGATGCCATCCCCTGGGATTTACGAGTCCAAACATTTGCATCATAGTGATCTAGCATGCCTCCAAAGTCACTTTTAACAAGGAGATGCTTGCACTACAATTATGCCAGGGGAGCGGCTGAGATGAGGTTCCCAGTGCTGGAGCCAAACAAATAAAAATAGCATCCACGTCCCAAGGCAGGCATTTACTACCTTGAGGACTAGGAACATGAAAAGTTTCTCAGGATGATGAGAAAGTGTCCTCCCAACACCATTTCCCACCCATGTTTCACCCAGTTGGATTTGTGTCTTTGCCTTTGCACTGGTCCCATTTGTCTTTGGCTGGAATGTGCCCCTCCCCCAGAACTTTCCGGAATTAAATTTGGCCCTCAGGCTGAGGAGGTCCAGAGCAAAAGGTGGCAGCTGCTCTGGGCAGTCACATTCGGATTCATCCAAAGCAAGTGTTTTCCAGGACGGAGCAGAGAAAGTCCATCTTCAGCTAGGTGCAATGAATCGGAGGAATTGGTTGCCACCGGCTCAGAGGGCTTGGAGCACCATGCAGGGGAAGCATCTGTCCGTGGCTGTCACTCGTCTTGCTGGCCCCAGTGGCCCATGTTGGGGGAGCCCCTGGCCAAGGGAGCTGGCCAGGGGGCACAGTTTGGGACTTTCCAGAAGCACCTGCTCGGCTAGTGTAAGGAAAGGGCCTACTTGGGTGTCCTTTGTGGTCCCGGAAGCTCACTGAGCCACCGAGCCCGGAAGGTGTGCGCTCCAGCCTGGCGTGGTCTTGGCTGCACATGGAAGCCCCACGTGCTGCTTGTAGGAGACGGCCCGGCTGGCTCTTGCAGCCGCTCGCCAGCATCTCTGCCCTCATGGGACCGCATCCGACAGACCGGCCCTGTGATGGAAAGCCCTTGGCCCGACGGACCTCACGCCTGCCGTTTCCCCATCCGGCTGCACACTCTCTCCTCTCCGAGGCGCCGCTCCTGGGAAAACCTACCTGCCATGCACAGATGTTTGCCTGGAGTTGCACAAGAATGCTCTATCTTTCCAATGTAATCTCTGGCTCGCCCAGCACCCCAGCTGAATCAGAAGGGCGGCATCCTGCCCAAACACGAGTGTGGAAATAGCAGGATTCCCTCCCGATGGCAAACGTCAGCTGTGTTATGTACGGCTGGACAAACCAGGACAGAGGGATGGATTGAGAGACGGTTGTACTTGGAGGAGACCCTGGAAATCAATGGAACTTCGGTTAATCACGGCAGCCTTAAGTCCCGTTCGTTTCATGCGTATTCTTAGTATGGCTGAGTCCTGATGCCGCGGAGAGAAGCGGGACTTCTTCATGGCACACAGAACTCTTCATGGAATCCAGCACTGCGGGAGGCCACAGGTTTGGCCAGGGCTTCAAGGAGAGACATTTCTGGAAGACTGGCGCCTGCCACCACAAGCAGAGACCGACAGAAATGGACCAGATGAGGAAATAACTTTCCCTGGAAGCAAAAATGACAAAATGGAGGCTGTCGTACTTTGGGCACGTCATGAGAAGGCCAGGCTCTCCAAGGAAGACCATCATGCTGGGGAAAGATGAAAGGAAATACCAAAGAAGAGACAGAAACAGAGACAGAGTGAGTCAGGAGGGGTCTCCCGGGCCATCTAGCCTGACCTCCGGCACCAACTGGCTCCGCTCACGACAAGCCCACCATGTGCACATCCAGCCTGGCCTTGAACACCCTCACCGGTGGGGCCTCAACCACCTCCCGGGGAAGCCCATTCCATACCCCTAACAGGAAGTACTTCCTGGCATCCAAACTGAGCCTTGGTTCCCTGAGCTTGGTTCCGTTGGAACCAAGATGGGTGGACTCCATCCAGGAAGCCACAACCTTGAACTTAGAAGAGCTGAGTGTGGCTGTCAAGGACAGGACATTTTGTCAGGGTTCCATTCATGGGGCCGCCATGAGTCGGCGATGACTTGGCGGCACATCGCAACAACAACAACAGAGCCAGTGACCCGATACACATGACACCCCAGGCTGGGTTCCATGTGGAACACGTGTCCCCTGTTGGGTTGCATCATATGTGACCCCAACCTCATGGGGAGTCATGTGAGTTTCCAACAGCCCACAGGCCAGAATGCCAGTTACCAATGGGCACTCGGGGCAGAGAAGCATGTGGGCCCCCCCCCCACCCACATCGCGGTGTGGGACACCCGAGGCCAGCCAGGTTGCTCTGATCCTCGAGGCAGAAGTTCTCCAAAGCACTGCACACCGGCAGTAAAAGCACAACTACCGCAGTGAATTAAATAATCCTCTCCTGCCCTTCCATCACACCTCGAATGAGTCCCCTGCGATGGCCAGCTCTGCATGGGAGCAAAAAGCAACCCCAGGGCAGGTGGAAGGCGGCTGCAGTCTTCGTGGCCTGCCTTTGGTTTCCCCAGGGCCTCAGTGGCAGAGGGACCAAATGGTGGAGCTGGGCTGAAAACAGGAGGAGCTAGATGGGCCACTCAGAGCGCCCCCCCCCCCGTGTGTGTGTGTGTGTGTGTGTGTTGTAAAGGGCTGTCCCAGCAGCGGTTCCTCCAGGGAGCTGGGCTCCTAGGAGCTGACTATGGGTGTCTGGGACGGATACTCCTCCCGGCTGGTACGTAGAATTGCATCCCAAAAAATTGCTCTCATGCCGGTTCTCTCTCTTTGTAGCTTTGTCGCTGCACTGTTACAAGTGCCAGGATGCCAAATCTCACGGGGAATGCAAAGATACCGTTAAGTGTATGGATCTGGACAGAGTTTGCGTGACACTGGAGCACCGCAATCCAGGTAGGGTTTGGTGTGATTTATGGTTTCTAACTGGAAAGCAGGCCGTGTAGAAAACGCTTTGCTTAGAGATGGACGTCACCCCAAGTTCTGATTTCAACATGAGGCATTAGCACGAGAAGCCCTTTTTTGGATAAGGGGTCTAGAAAAAGGACAGGTGCATCTAGCACAGGGCTGGTCCTGTCACTCCCACCAGCTTCCTTGCGTGGAATTGGGGTGAGGGAAGGTGGATCCTACAAGTTTAGACAGAAAGCAGTCCCACGGCTCCCAGCTATGCAGTGATGCATGCACAAGGTTTCCCCCCAAGTCGCCTTTCAGCTCATACCACAAAATATTTGGGCTCACCCTGGTTCAGCTCAGAAAGATGCTTGGCAGGGGAGGAAAGGAGGCAGACAAAGATTGCTGGGAAGATGTTCAGGGTGGATGAAGCCAGGATGCTGCAGCCCTTCCAGCCCATGGGCTGCGCAGAAGCTTCTCTCCGGCCCCAGAGCCCCTGCTTGGAGCTTTGCCCCACTGCCTGCCTTACAGTGGGGCCCAAGTACCACACCTTTTGGCTTGAGGCTCCTAGGGCCAGCCAGAGGCTTCAGGAAGGGCATTTAAGTTTTCAGATGTAGTAGTGCAGGCAATACCTGGAAAAACACTGAAGGAGCAGCAGTGGGGGAAATGGAGTGGGGCCAGGGAGGAGTCCGTGGCCATGTCTGGGTCTCCACGCAGGCGCAATTTGGTCCCTGGCCCTGAGGTTCAGCACCTCTACTTCACTTTCCATCCAAAGAAACAGAAACAGAGCGAGTCAGAAGGGTCCTTGCGGGCCATCTAGTCTGACCCGGCTCCAGCAGGCTCCGCTCATGACATGCCCACCATGTGCATGTCCAGAGAGAGCAGTGAGAATGGCGCTGGTGGCCCTGAAGGTAGGAGCCAGCCTCACGCCATACTGGGGCCATCCAAAACCCTAATGACGACAGATTTGATGGTGCAGCGCAAGAAACTGCTTCCTGTCAGCCTCATCTTGGAGAGACTCCGCAAACGGTGTTGCTGCCGCCAAGTCTTAATGACAACCTCTCCTCTCCTCTCCTCTCCTCTCCTCTCCTCTCCTCTCCTCTCCCCCGGCGCTCGCTTGCCCTCCCCGGATTTTGTCTTCCAGCTCAGGAGCTTCTCATCAGCAAATGGTGTGCCCCAGAATGCCCGGCCTTCACTTCTGAAATCAAGGTGGCGAAGGCGAACTTCTCTTCTAATTGCTGCGAGATGGATTACTGCAACAGCGGTGGGCCCAGCAGCGTGAAAACCAGCCACGCTCTCGTGGCCGTGGCCACACTGGCCAGCTTCGCCTACATCCTCCGGACGGGGCTGTGATGGTGCCTGAGGCGCATGGGAAGCGCTCACAGCCCTGCGCTCCCCACACCCTGGGGCACCCGAGGGCTTTTCCATGGAGGGCCACCGCACTCCCTCCGCAAGTGCCATTGCCAAATGCATTCCTGTGTAAAGGTTTTGTGCACCGTGTGAACGGGCTCCGAGGGAGGGCTCAGAACAGTAATAATAAAAAGTCCTTCTCTCTGTGATGCTCGAGGGTGGGGATGTTTTGGGGCGGCCCCCTCGCCTGCCCCGTGCAGTGGCGCAGTCCACAATGTCAGCATTTGGTGCCAACGGGATCCAGGTTTTGGGGTGCCTTTGGGCAAAGCACCTCAACAGGCTCCTTCCTCACCGAGCGGAACTTCTCTCCGCCACTGCCGGCAGCTGCTTCCCCTCTGCCTCCTCTTCCTCACTGCGGCTCTCGCTGGCTTGCTGGCTTCTCCTGGGCCAGAGTGAGAGGTGGAGGTGGGGGGGGGTCACCTGGGGAGAAGAGGGGCGAGTCCAGGGGAGCCTGGCTGGGGTACAGGCCATCCCCAGTTGTCTTTTGCAGCCAGAACGACTCTTGAAAACCCCGGCCTTGGTTTAGGCCTGCTCCAGCCAGCCCTGCCGTGCGGCTTCTCCCCCTTCTTCTGCCTCACCTTCCTGGCCCAGCTCCCCATCGCCTCCTTGTGTCCCCCTCCCCGCTTCCTTCTCTGGGGGTGTCTTCCCATATGCTCTTGAAGCAGCGCCAGCCTCAAGGGTGCTCTGCACACACAGCAGGTAACCCACACTGGCTGGTGAGTTCCAGAGGGGCTCCATGCTGATTTTCGCTTCCTGCATGCATGCAAGGAAGCCGGGCAGCTTCGGGCCCCCGTTGTCCAGACGCGGACCTGAGCACAGCCGGGCGGAGCAGCCACTGGCCCACAGAAGGTCCCGGCTTCCATTCCCTGCAGCAGCTCTTGGCCAAGCCAGGAAAGGCTTGCAAGCCGCTGCACTGTGCCGCTCCTTAAGCCCAGGGCTGGTGGCAGGGCACAGCTCAGAGTCCTCCAAAGAGGAGGGCTTGGCTCACTGAGAGAGGTGTGTGTGCTTAGACAGGGAAAGCTCTGTGGTGCTCCGTGTTCCCACGGGCAGGTCTAGCACTGCACCTTCAGCTGAGCAACCCTGCCCTCTATTGGACAAACCAAGGGCACCAGGTGTGGTCACCTGCAGAAGATGCGGCGCCAAGGAACAAGCAGATGCGACCTGCAACGGGTCAGACGGCACCTTGGGTGGTGCCCAGGTAGACTAGTGTGGGAATCTTCCCAGCACGTTGTCCTGCAAATTACCAGAAGTCCCAGGCAGGGGCTTGTTCCCTGTCAGTTGGCTTTCCTTTTTCGGAAGGAAGCCCAGAGATATTCCTGCCACAGAGAGGCCCCTTCCTGCAATGGGGTGGGCAGCTCTGCTCTGGGGCTCCGCTGCGGCGTGACTGATCGATCGATTTCTGGCATGTGTGCACTGCTCCGCATCTTGACAGATGGCAGAGCAGCGGACAGTCAAATAATAACACAGGTCGACAGACAAAACCGAGGCATGGAAAACAGGGTACCTTTGAAGCCGTGGCTGGTCGGCAAGAAAGGCGTCTCCAGTGGGTGCCAAGAGCAACCTGAGCTGAAGCCCGCCTGGCTGCCAGAAGCAGGGGGTGCTGCAGAGGTGGGGCCACCCAAGGAAGGCCGTGCTCTTGGTGGACTCCCCTGGGACCATAGGTCCGTGCGGCACCACTAGGGGCGCACTCTCGCATGAGCTCAGTGGCTGGGCAAGTCGGTACGGAAAGGGCGCTCTCGTACATCTCCCGGACCCTCGCTTCGCACACCGGTGCCAGCATCTTGAACTCAGCCAATGCCAGGCGGTGACGGGCACCCCGAGCCGCCGGTGGTCACTTGGGGCGACGGAGACAGATCTGCACTTTTCCGACACCTTCTTCAGGCCCTTGTTTGACCGTGGGCCCTTTTCTAATTTGACCATAAATAATGTATTTCCTACATTTCTATATAGCCACAATTCTCCATGGAAGCTCAAAAAAACCAGATATGTTTTGGGGTAGTAAACGAGCAAAAACTACTGGCTGGAATACTAGCGGAGTAGCTGGGAGAAAGGCAGAGGAGCCAAAGAGAAGTCGCTTGGAATCCGATCAGGAATGCCGCGTCTTCCGTATTTACTACGGAGGGGGTGCAAGTCGAGGTGGAGACCCTGGCAACGCGGAGTGGGGAACGAGGCTTGAGCAGAGCAGGTCCCCTTGGACCTACCGTACAACCAAAAAGGAAATGGGTGCATTTGCTTAGCAGAGGTCTAGGCAGCCCTGGGTGGCCTTGTCCTTACTGGAGGAAAGCCTGCTGCTTGAAGACCAGAGACGGGTTGCTGGCGGCTAAACGGGATGTCTTTGTTTTGGGTTAAAAGCAGCTATTTGGGGGGTGGGTGAGTGGGAAGGTGCTCTGGACTGGAGATCATATTTGGTTTGGACTGGTGCTCATATTTTCAAGACTTGCAATGATTTTCTCTGGGTATTTAAAGTAAAGTGGTGCCCAGAGATTGATGGATGGATGGATTGAAAGCATTTCTACCCCATCCTTTACCGAGGACACAACTGGAAAGGGCTCCCCTTTCCTTGTAAGGTCACTCACACTCTTATAGGAGCAGGGGTGCCTTCTCCCATTGCGTTGGGGTTGCGATGGGGAGAAACCTTTGAGGCTTGTGAAAGACTTCCTTCCATGGAGCACTGCAGGATGCAAGATGTAGACACGGGCCACCAATACAGAATGAGTCTTTCTCACACAGCAGCAGAATTCCCAGCCAGGTTGCTGTTTAGCGTTTCCTTTTGCCTTAAGAAGGTAGCATTCCTGGCTAGACTGAGAAGCTGCTGGAGGCTGACCCAATCAGGGAGGAAATACCTGTGCAGGAAAGCTGAAACAACAGTGTCCGTTTGCTTCTGAAGGGACCCCTTTAATCATCTAGTCCCGCAGAGGCGAGCCCCTGATGGGGGTGGTTGTCAGACCAGATTTCCGGGATGGTTCCTCCATCAGACGTATTTGCATGTTTAAAGAGACAGACCGGCTGACCTGAACAGTCCAGAATTTGCTAGACTGACCCATCAATACGGGAATCAGTGATGTTTTCCATGCTATTGTTACCAGTATTTCTGATCGGTTCAGAACTTCACGTCATGCCTAAAGACAAGACGCTGTTGCACTAACATGATCTGGAAACACTCTGCACGGGTGTACGTGACTAGCAGGTTCTAAAAGTGTCGGTACACGGGCTGTGATTCTGTAGCTGAGTTTGCCTCTACCCAGGAATGCATTATCGTTAGTGACTGCAGGTCCTGGGCCACTGATCAATAAAGCCGCAGAGGTTCAAACGTTTGTTCTTTCCCACGGACCCGAGTGTTTCTTTCCCCACAAATTGAAAACCGAGATTCTGTCACTGCCTTGAAACCGGCACCTATATCGTATGCCTAGACAGGGCAACGGTGGCAAACACTCCCGTTTCCTTTCGGAGGTGGCTGGGAAGAGGATCTGCAGTCGGTAAGAGGCTTGAGGACCGAGAACATCCATTCAGGAGACAGCCTGGATGTGGGAAGGAAAGACGAGACCCTTTAGCCGTGCTGGCCCTCAGCCAGGACTCCCCACCCCTCAGGGAGTCTCTCCCTCCTACCCCCTGCTCCTCCTCTTCCTCTGGGCCAGAGTGAGAGGTGGGAGAACAAGCAGGCTGCCGTGGGGAAGCGGTGGGGCAAAGCCAGGGTTATTTTTACCCTGTTCAACCCACAGGTTCTGCTGCTGGTTTCATCGCATCGTTTGTGCTGGTGCTCTGCACGGTCTGGTTTCCTTTCCTGGCTCCAGTGCTTTCTGCCACGCAGCTTCCTGGTGGCTCAGCAATTGCTCAACTTAGCAATTACACTTCTGGAAATTAGGTTTGTTCTATGAACCACGCTGGAGTTGCCCCTCTGCAGCTGAGCACGGCCCTTCCTGTGCAGCTGCTTGTAAAAAGCTGAAAGGGCGAGCTGGGGGGTGCGGCTGCTCTCGGCACCTGCAAGCAGAGGTGAGCGCGGAAGGAGGTGTGCGCCATAAAGGCCTCGTTGAGCAAACCGGAGCGCGCATGACAGCATCGCTATTACTAGCATTAGACTTTCATGGCACCCCCAGCCCACTGGGCTCTCTGGGCGGCTTGCAGATGTAAAAATACACACAGAACACCCATATGCTCATATTTAACAAGCAAAGCACAGCAGATACAACAGCGCTCTGACGACCATGGCCAAGAGTCTCTGCCCCAAGTGGCCAAGCAGGCGATGCCTGCAGAGCCGAGCCGGGAAAAAGGGCCGGTGATGGGAGGCCCCGCCTGCTTCGGAGGCAGGTGTGGCCTGGTGCTGCCCTCTCTCCCACAGCCTTGTCTGCTGGCTCTTTCCAGGGGTGTGGGGGGAGTTTGTAACATCTGGGGGAGTTTTGGGGTGGCAGCGGCTGCGAGGGTCACTGAGGCAGCCTTCCTGTCCAGGGAGCGCTGCATGTGCCCTACGGATCTGAACTGGGTGAAGTGAGGTTTTCTCCCACAGCAGGGAAAATGCGTCATTTCATTGTGAAATCGAAGGGGTGCAATTTCCTCTTGTCTAACTGCTCTGCCGCAGTCTCTGCCCCCTCCCCACATCTGTCCTGAAAAAGCGGATGTGTTTACTCAAAGTCCTCTCATCTTACCTCTGTGATGGAACTGAAAGTGAGAAAAGCTGATTAGCAGCTCAGGAAGAGCTCCAGGTAGAAAAGGCATAGAAAGCACAAAGGTGTTCTAAAAATCGCATTTAAGCTTGCATGCTCCACTCTGTATTGCCCCAGGATCTCAGCAATTTGCCACGATGGTTCTGTCCCCAGGAGCAGGGCTGGTGTTTCCAAGCAGCCACCGGATGGGGCTTGGGGCTTCTTTAATGTGCCAGGTTCCTTCTTCCAGCATTGATGGAGGAAGCTCTTCCCAAACCTCCAGGCACTGGAAACTTGGTGCGGATCTACGGGGGCAAGCCTTGACCCAAGCCACAAGCCCCATGTAAGCACAGCCCACCCCCGAGTGAGTAGTTTTCCAGACAGAACAGAAAATTTTATTTATGTACTTAAAACTTTTGTATAGCGTCCCATCACTGACGTATCAGGACTGTTCACAGTAGCAGCAATAAAATAAGAT